CAAGCCCCATCTCCTCCAGAGACGGACTTTTCAGCTTGGACTTGTCGGCTTCTATACGCTTGTGAGCGATTTACCTAAGATAAATCTCTCTCTCTCTCTCTCTCTCTAAAAATATATATATATACCTTGCTGGTTTTTTGTGTTTCTCTAGAGAACCCAATCTAACACAGACATGAAACAAAATGTGTAGGAATTGTTAAATGTAAAACTCATTGCTCTGTAAACTTTCACCCAAAGCACAATAAAAAATTTAAAAAAAGAATTTCTTACAGATTATATTGGTTGGATAAGATTTACATGTCCTAAATATGAATCCTTCCATAGTGATACTGCCTTGGAAACCCAAGGAGGGGTCGCTATGAGTCGGGGCCGACTCGACGGCACATAACAACAACTACAACAAATATGAATCAGAACCATAACCATATAAATGTATCATTTTTTCTGTTGATAATGTTTTTAGCTCAGCTGTTTAGAACTACACAGATCTTAGAATAGTGCTTCCTATCATCTCCTTACTATTATGTAACAGTTTATAACTAATATGTACTTATTAATTCTGATACATATTACAGGTAGATTTGTCAGTCTCTCCCAGAAAGTTAAATGGTTGAAAGCATTTCCTGTCATCTGTGTATTTCATACAAAGAACAGCAGAAGGTTTTGCATGGACCAAGCACTCAACAAATGCTTATTGGAATGATTTCAAAGGAAGAGATAAACTTTTAAACAACAGAATAATAAGATTAGCATTTTAATTTTTTCCTGATATATTTTAAGTTATTAAATGACTTCTGAATAATTACTCATCAAAGAGAATTTCTTTATATTTTATACAATAAATTCACAATTGTAACTCCTAGGAATAAATGGTCTGATTTGTTTCATCACAGAAAGTTTTAGGTAGATTTTGCTGATTGTATATACCCAAGAAATCTTAGATTATTTAAATGCAAAGTCAATATTTGTTAAGGAAGTCTAATATATTTATCTAAAAGTAACTAAATTTCTATAATGTCATAACTAAGATAGTTCTTTCCTAAAAAAGAAATAAAATACATACATTAGCAATCCTACTTCCGTAGTGATACTGCCACGGAAACCCAAGGAGGGGTCGCTATGAGTCAGGGCTGACTCGACGGCACATAACAACAACAACAACAACAATATCTAGTCACTATTCAAAATGTTCCAATTTGTTCCCAAGTATTTTTACCAAGTCACTATTCAAAATGATCCAATTTGCTCCCAGGTATTTTTATCAAGGAACTAACCAAGGTCCAGACATCATATTATACACCTCCGAAGTCTTTTCACGTAGAGGTTCTCCCTCTCTTCGATAACATTAAAACATTTTTGTAACAGAAAATGAGCCTGTAACTATAGAATTTTTCTATCTTGAATAGAAATTTTTAAGACAACCTCCATAATGCTGTATTCAAAACCTTATTAATGAAGTTTTCACTTGATTTAGCACACCAGGTAAACCACAACAAAAACAACCCTATGTTTTTTTCCTCAGAAACTGTTTCTTCTCTTTCCAACCTAAACATATCCTCAGGAACCAAAAAACTCATGAGCATTAGAAAAACTCAGTAGGCAAAAGGCTCAATTTATGGTTACGCTTGTTTTAAATCAGTAAAATCCACAGTAAATTTAGGTGCTAAAATTTTAACTTTGCAAATGTGTGAAGAATTTAAGAATGAAAATGTTCTAGCAAAACTCATAATCAATGCAGACTTAATAAGAGGTTGAAATTATACAATAATATTGGTTCCTTGTTTCCCAAATAAAGTTTAAGTGGTTAATCATGGAATACATATAGAGGAAAGAAGTTTTATTACTTTTAGCAGCCACAGGCTTGCTTTACTCATTTGCAATTAGTACATGGTATAAAAATATCATTGCAAAAGAGACTGTAAGTTTTTGAAAATCATTAAAAAAAAGGGGGGGGGCGTGCTAATTTACCTGCCTATCTCAACTGTACTTCAAGATAACCAAAGAGATGTTAAGTTCCTTTCCTCTAGAAAAATTCCAGTTATGCAGAAGAGTGAGAGTTTTGCATCTCCTATTGAACTAACTGTGAGCTTTGGTTGCATAGTACCTAAGGCATTTGACTGCTAACCAGAAGGCTGGCGGTTCAAACCCACCAGCCATTCCTCAGAAGGTTGGGCAATCTACTTTCATAGTGATACCGCCGCAGAAAACCAAAGGGGGGTCACTATGAGTCGGATCCAATTTGATGGCAGTGAGTTTCTTTTGGTTTGGTTTACTGAAGTAATTAGCTCCCTGGGTGGCGCAAGCAGTTTATGGTTCACTATTAAGCTACAGGTTATCAGTCTGAACCCACTTAGCTGCTCTATGGAAAAAGGCCTAGTGAACTGCTTCCATACAGATTACAGCCCATAAAGTTCCACGGAATAGTTTACTCTGTAACACACGGGGTTGTAGTGAGACAGAAATGACTTTATGGCAACAAGTCTGGTGTTCTGGTTTACTGAAGTAACTGGACCTGCCAATGACCATCAGTGCCTGCTAAAAACCGTTAGGAAAGCTTTCTTTTGAATGGCATATGCTGAGGTCAACTAAGCCACTGATCAATTTTAACATCAAAAAAGAGAACCTGAGTTATGTGTTTCCCGAGGAGATGAAACACATAGCAACTTCTAAGAAGTATTCTTGACATTCCTCCCTTCCTTATCTCCCACAAAAAAAGTGTGATTGATCAAGGCTCCAAATCTAACTAATGGTTTAGAGAAAACAGAGTGAGCAGAGTAACATGTTAAGATGGAATCAGCAAAACGCTGCCTTTGAGAAATTCACTAAGACAGACATCTCTCCTCCAGAAATATAGAGAAATTGAAAAAGTTATATATAAAAAAAAAGGAAACTATCTTAACAGACACATCAGATGATGTACTGATCTTTTATAGCTCCCGATATGATAAAAAACATTTAGGAGAAAATTGGGGCATTTTGAAGAGTGACTAGGTAAAGAAGAACTGCTGTATTTTTAAGGTACAATAATAATCTTGGAGTTAAAAATTTTAAAAAGTACTTAAAAGTACAGAGATACATACTGAAGTATTTACTTATTATTCAGAGATACATATTGTAGTATTTATGATAAGATGTTTGGATTTGTCTTCATATTAATTGGGATGAGAGGAGGATGTGGTATACATATTGAATAAGATTGGCCATACAGTGATAATTGTTGAAGACAGGTGACAATTAAATGTTGTTGTTATGTGCTGTTGAGTTGGACCCGACTCATAGCGACCCTTCCCCTTGGGTTTCCAAAGCGGTATCACTATGGAAGTAGATTGCCCAACCTTCCTTCTGAGAAGTGGCTGGTGGGTTTGAACAGCCAGCCTTCTGGTTAGCAGTGAAGTGCTTTAGGCACTACGCCACCAGAACTCCTCATGATTAAATGAGGGTATATTATTAAAAAACAAAAACTCAGAAGGAAGACTAAGCAATCTACTTCTGCAGAGATACTGCCTCAGAAACCCCAGGAGGAGTCACTATGATGATTAAATGGGGGTATATTACACTATTCTATATTTACTAGTATAATTTTCCATAATTATAAGTTTTTAAAATCCTTTGAAATTATTTTTTGTACATAAGCTAAATATTTTCTTTAAAATTAAATTTATAGAATTTATTAGTCAACAATGAATATATAAATGGGTAGGGAAAGAATTACTATATTATCATGAATTCCAAATAAGAAGAGAATTTAGATTGTGAGGTAGTCAACAAATAAGAACAACAAAACAATTATGACTTACTACATCTAGTACTTTTTCTATGTTTCCAATACATTGACTTATTTTGATCTATTAACAGTTGTTTTTCACATTCAGTTCATTAGGAAATGACTACTAGATAAAAAATTAGGAAAAAAACTACATCATTCATTCACAGTTCAAAACACAGTTCACATTTATGTGCAACTCACCTGCAGTAAAATCTTCAGTCAGATCAATAAATGCATGAGAATGTGGAACTCGCATTTTGTTTTTAGGGGTCAATGCAGGGTGCCATGATAAATTCCTAAAAAAATTAAATAACTTTCTTAATGTAAACATCAACTGAGTATTTTTAAGAGAAAAATCTCAGAATATAAAACATTATAAAATCTATTTTTATTGAGATGTATCTCATATACCATATAATTCATTCTTTTAAAGTGTGCAATGCAGTGGTTTTTAGTACATTCACAGAGCACAACCATCACCATTATCTAATTCCAGAATATTTTAGTTGTCCCCAAGGAAAACCCCCGTAAGTATTAGTAGTCACTCCCTAACACTTTCCACTAACAGTTAACTGTCTTTGAGTTGACTCTGATTTACAGCAATCCCACGTGTGCCAGAACAGAATTGATCTCCACGGGGTTTTCAATGGCAGATTATTTAGAGGTAAACTGCCAGGCCCTTCTTTTGAGAAGCCTCTAGGTGGACTCAAACCTTCACCCTTTGGTTAGTAGCCAAGATTGTTAACTACTTACACACCCTGGGACTCTCTCCACAGCTCCGAGCAACCACTAATCTACTTTCCATCCCCTTTTGATTTGCCTAGTCTACACATTTTATATAAACAGACTCATGCAATATGTGGCCTTTTAAGTCAGGCTCCTTTCATTTAACATATTTTCAAGGTTTATCCATGTAGTAGCATGTATTAATTCTGTCAGTATGTCATACTATGGTGGCTTGTGTGTGGCTGTGAGGATGGAAGCTATGGCACTGGTATTTCAAACACTAGCAAGGACACTCATGGTGGACAGGATTCAGCTGAGCTTCCACACTAAGAAAGACTGGGGCCATCCACTTCTGAAAAGAACTGGCCACTGAAAACCCAGTAAGTATCAGTGCAACACATCTGACAGATTGCTGGAGGACTTCTGAGCAGCAGTGGGACACTGTCTGATTCAGTGCCGCAAGACGAGGCCCTCAGGTGGGAAGCCACTCAAAATACGACTGGGAAAGAGCTGCCTCCTCAAAGTAGTAGTTGTTATTTGCCATCAAATCAGACCCGACTCATAGCGATCCCTCCTTGGGTTCTGGAGGCAGTAATACTACGGAAGTAGAGTGCCCAACCTTCCTTCCTCAAAGTAGAGTCAACTTTAATAATGTAGGTGGAGTAAAGCTTTTGAAACCTTCAAGCGAGGATGGGGCATATTTCAAAATGGGAAGAAACATTTTCAGATATTTATTTAGAATTGGAACATGGAATGTACCAAATACGAATCTAGGAAAACTAGAAGTTGTTAGTAAAGAAAGAGATCAATATTCTAGTCATTAGTGAGTTGTAATGGACTGGTATAGGCCATTTTGAACAAGATAATCATATAGTCTACTATGCTGGGAACAACAAATTGAAGAGGAGTGGCTTTGCATTCTTCGCAAAAGGAACATTTGAAGACCTATCCAGAAGTACAATGCTGTCAGTGATAAGATAATATCTGTATACGTATAAGGTCAATTACTACTACTACTACTCAAATTTATGCACCAACCACTAAACTCAAAGATAAAGAAAATGAACTTTTTTTTTTTTTAAATCAACTTCTGGAGTCTGAAACTGACCAAACATGAAATCAAGATGTATTGACAAATACTGATGATTGGAATGCTAAAGTGGAAACAAAAAAGCAGCACTGGTAGTTGGAAAATACAGCCTTGGTGACAGAAATGATGCCAAAGATCGCATGATAGAATTTGCAGACTACTGACTTCACTGCAAATATATTTTTCAACACCATATACAGCAAGTATACACATGGAGCTCAACATATGGAATACACAGGAATCAAATGGACTACAACTATAGAAAGAGAAAATGGAGAAGCTCAATATTATCAGTCAAAATAAGGAAGGAGCTGACAGAAGAACAGATCATCAATTGCTCATATGCAAGTTCAAGTTGAAGTTGAAGAAAATTAAAACAAGTCCACGAGATCCAAAATATGACCTTGAGTATATTCCACCTGAATTTAGAGATCATGTGAAGAATAGATTTGATACACTGAACACCAATGACTGAAGACTAGATGAACTGTGAAATGTTATCAAGAACATCATACATGAAGAAAGCAAAAGGTCATTAAAAAGACAGGCAAGGAAGAAAAGATTTAAAATGGATGGGAAGACTCAGAAAGTTGCTCTTCAATGTAATATGAATGGAAGAAATGAATAAGAGATGAAAAGGATTTCAAAGGGCAGCTTGAGAAGACAAAGTAAAGTATTATAATGAAATGTGAAAAGACCTGTAATTAGAATATCAAAAGGGAAGAATAGGCTGTTTGTCAAGCTAAAGAACTGAAGAAAAAATTCACTGGTCATGCTGTCATGGAACAGGGACCAGTCACTGGAGAAGGTATTATACGTGGTAAAGTAGAAGGTCAGTGAAAAAGAGGAAGACCCTCAATGAGATGGATTGCCACAGTGGATACAACGATGGGCTCAAGTATAGCAAGTATTTTGAGGATGGTGCATGTGGTAGTTAAGGTTATGTGCCAACTTGGCTGAGCCTGATTTTGAGTAGCTGGGCAACTGAATGTAGTTATTCCCCATGATGAGATTGCTAATTAACTCCATGGTGGAATCTACTGAAGCAGCTGAGTAGCTGCTTTAGGGATGTGGGCTACTTTCTGTTTATAAGAATCAACTTTTAGGAAGGTCTCCAGCTTATGGCATGCTTGGACCCTGAATGTAGCTGAGCCATTGTTCAGTGGCCTGCCATGTTGTCTGCCAATCTTCGGACTCTTAATTCACTTGAATCAATGGCCTGCCATGTGGTTTGGTAATATTGGGCCTATGTTTTCTTACTTGTCAATCTGGGTTTGTCACCCTCAGCAGCCAGCAGGTGCCTGAGTGAAGAAAAGCCTCCAGTTTCAGTGGGCCAGGAGCAGGAGAGAGAGCTGAAGCTTAAGGTTGAGGGGCTTTCACCCAGCCCCTAGAACCTGGCACTTTGAACTCTGACTTCCAGCCTCAAAACTTGTAAGAGAATAAACTCCTGTTTGTTACAGCCATCATATTTTCTGTTAGAGGAGCACAAATTAACCAAAACAGTGCAGGGACCACCTTACAGTGCACCCAAATAGGACTGCATAACATTCTGTTTTTCATAGGGTTACTGTGAGTTTGACCCAACTTGACAGCA